TTTTTTTTTTCCTAGCAAAAAGAAAAAGGGCGCCAGAGCCAGGAATCCCTGAATTAAGTTTCGTCAATCTCAAAAGTTAGTGTTCCCTGCCAGCAACAGTGGATTCTAACACACGGGGACATTCCAGGACATGGCTATTTCCACAATACGTAGCAAATACAGCTGAAGAAAGCGCCTTGCCCTGAATTGTTGCCCAGGCCGACAACTAAATAAAATGTAAGATTGGATTCAGAGATGCACATCTAGGACCGATTTCCTGGTCTTACCAAGTTAGCCGGGCAAAGGGGACGGCGGAGGAATGTGGGTTCGCGTTAAAGATAAACAAAGCCAGCTGCCCAGGGCCCATAAAGAATTAAACACGATCCTGATTTCCATCCCACAGGCTCTCCAGCGCCCGGGCTGGCACGCTGCCAGCGGCTCAGCTGTCTGACAGGCACAGCCACCGCCTGGGAGGGAGAGGGCCGGGCAGGGAAAGCCCACTTCCCCCAGGATGACAGCTGAGCCTCCTCCTTTCTCCCTCAGGAAAAGTACACTAGGGTTTGCTCCCCTTCTTCATGAAGTCCCCCAGCCCAGGTTTCCAGAAATGTGTGCAAAGAAGGGAAAACGCCCTTCCCTCTGTCCTGCCAGGGCCCTGGGGTGCTCTAGGAATTAAAGTGACATGAGATAGGTTAACTGGAAAAGTCCTTCTAACCACCTATGCACACTCAGGGGTCCTACCAATAGAGACTGAAGGGAGCATGGAGATGACAGGCTCGTGTAGCATCCTGAGCCACAGTTACAGGAGGGCCAGGGGGGAAATGGGCGGTGAAGAAAGGTGGCCTTGTCATGCAGGTCGAAGTCTCTCATGTAGGGAAGCTGTCTCAGGTCAGGCCTCTTCCTGGTACCTTTACTAAGGAAAATTTCCTTTGTAAGTACCAATTTTATTTACAGAGGGGCAACGTTCAGAGCTGCTCTTGAGTCTACGGTTTCTCAAAACAACCAGTCTGAAAATAACCAGTGTGCCAAAAGAGAATAATTTGGAGATACATTATGGTCTCCTACAGTCATATTTGGGGGTGTGTACTGTACCTCAACTTGTGCATGAATGTCCTGCCTCCTGCTTTATGTCAGTTTTTTAACGTATTGAATGAGTGTGGGGCAGATGCCTGTGGGCACCGCAGGGTTGAGTATTTGCTTTGGACACTTATTGATACCCACCAGGGTCCCATTGGATCCACTTTCTGGTGCTGTGTATCCACATTTGGCTCCTGCTGTGAGCTACAAGCTGCTCAGAGGAGTACCCCTGGGCTCTGGGAGCCACCTCTCCCATGCAGAATGGAAGTATCTGGGCATTTGTGTCCCTCAGCGGCTGTGGCCTCTGGCTGACAGGTGCAAGGGCCTGGGTCTGAGCTGCCACTTACACTCCAGACCTGACTGAAGCTAGGTCTCTGCCCAAAACCAGACCGTGTTCCAACGCTTCCCCTCCCCCCCCCTCCCCCCCCCCCCCCCCCCCCCACACACCTCCCCCCCCCCCCCCCCCCCCCCCCCCCCCCCCCCCCCCCCCCCCCCCCCCCCCCCCCCCCCCCCCCCCCCCCCCCCCCCCCCCTCCTCCCCCTCCTCCCCCTCCTCCCCCCTGTTTTTGATGTTGCAGCTCTGCCTCTTGTTACTGCAGTCTTGACATGTGGGGGTTGGCTGCAGCCCTCTACACTGCAGACCTTAGCTCTCAGTCCCTTACTTTCTCCATCCATATGTCCTTGAATCACTCCAAGTATCCTGGTTGCTGAGGTATCAAAAGGTGGCCATGGGTCAGTGAGTGGTGCTCACCAGGCTGAGGCTAAAGGTGAGCGGGTCATACAGAGACCCCTTTCTCTTGAAGGTGTCAAGATGCAGAGCAGATGTGGGAGCAACAGCCAGAGTGTAGGGAGTCATGGTTCACAGTGCACTTCTAACCCAGAGTGAGTTTTGTTTCTTCATGTGTTTTTGGATGTAATATTATGTTACTAAGGTGTGAATAATCACCTTTAAAATAATTACTTTCTCTGTACTGCTGTTTTTTTATTATTTTTTTAATTCAGACCCCCAACACATTTCACACTTTACTTCCTGTTCTAATTTTTATGAGTTCACATGTCTAGCAGAGTAACTGTGAATACACTACATTTGATGGGTAATGGAGCATTTTCCCCAGTGAACTTTCTATCAAACTATTTGATTATATTGGACCATGTTCTTTTTCTTTGGTTTTATAACCCGACTTTTAGGATCAATTTTAGATATCGAGGAAAGGTTCAAAATTATATTGGAGCTCTTGGGAATCAAGGCATTCAGCTTCTCCTGGTGTGAGTCATCTTATAGGACCACAGTACTATAGCAAATCCAGGAATTAAAGATTGAAACAGTGCTGTCAATTACCAGATTTATTTGCTTTTTTTCCCACTGTGCCATTAATGCCCCTTTTCTGTTCTAGGTTCGTGTATTACAGTTATTAATGTCTCCTCTGTCTCCTATAATGTGTCCTTGTTTTTTATGGCCTTGTGATACTTTCTCAGTCTTTCATGACTTTTGCACTTGAAGAGTAACTGGCTAGGTATTTTGTAGAATGTTCTCAGTTTGGGTTTAAGGATTTCTCATGATTAGAATTTAAAGTGAGATCAGGAGATTATACATTTTTCTCAAGAGTATTACCAGTAAAGGGTTTTAATATGCTATATGTAGAGGTTATGGAGAAGTTAAACATAGAAATAACGAAATTTTCAATGAGAAACCTCAAGGTGAGTACCCCAGCTGTTCTGAAGTCATGGATCCAGCTACGTGGTTTCTTTACTTTTCTCTTTATGCTGTTCCATCTGCCTGGAAAGGTTCCTCTATAATACATGAGGTCCTACTTGGCCTTCCAGAGCACAACCTGCCTTCCACCTCTTCCGTCAACCCTGTCCTGACTACATCAGCCTAGAAGTTTTTCGTCTGTTCTCTAAATTACATTTAAAAAATTTCTCTGAAATGTTTTGTTTATAATTATGTCCTGCATGTTTTGATTTGCTAAATATTTTGTATTGTATTTGTAGTTTAACAAATGTTTATCTCATGTTCCCGACAAGAATATTGGCTTCCTGACAATAGGATTGTGTCTTTTATTTTGTACCCACCTTAGTGCTTAGAATAGTCTCACTCTGGTAGGTACCCAGTAAATATTTGTCAAATGCTGACATTTCTAACCTAGACAAATTAGTCGAAGAGTAATCCAAGGTAGGGCAAATCTTTTTTGTGAAGGTATAGTTTATTGCAGATATCAGTTGAAATGATTTTTAAAAATAAATTGTCTATATTTTAATCTGAAATAGCACTGTTGAATTCTTATAAGTTTTACAGCATTTGTTTTCCTCATTGATTTATATTCTGTAGGGGACATTTTAGGACACATATCTGTTTCAGAATCTCAGAATGCATCTTAAAAGATTTCTTTTTTATTTTATAACCACAGATTTTGAAGCAACCGCCAGTTAAATTTGATCCAAAAATATTGCATCTACCAGCACATTCAGGTAGGCTTATAAATGGCTTATCAAACATTTTGAATTCAGATTCAAATATAAAATTTATATGCAAATGAAATTTGTGTAGGAATAAATAAATTTCTATTGTCTTGCCATTTGGCTATGTCTTCAGGGCAGTGTTATGCAAATCATAAACCATCTGCAATCCATTCCTGCCAGCTTTTGATGTTCCTCAGCTGGCTCTAGCTGTCCTGCACACTTGTCGATGAGTTTTCCTATCAGTGAATGGAGAGTCTTCTCCTTCCCTTCCCTTGGAGAGCTAGTAGAATTTCTTTGATTTACAGAGCCCTTCTGGGTACACAGGGTTGGGACCATAATGAAGAAATGGAGTCTTACTCAGTGTACTGCTGTGAGGATTGTGTTTGAATAGAGATATTTAAAGAATGTTTGTTATGTTTCCTTTCAGCTAATGAATGCCTTAATTTTGAGTGTACACCAGAAACTTTTACATACCTTCACTTGATTGAAGAAGCTGAACAAATGATACTTCAAGTTGTTAAGCTAAATTTGGAGAAAATTCTTCACTATAGTCATGTAGTATTTATGATTTGAAGTAAATTCAAAATAAAGTATTCAAATTTGAATAAACCAACTAATGCTTCATATAGGTCAACTTAACTAATAAAGCCCCAAAATCTCAAAGAGGGTTGTTTTGGAAAGACTAAAATGAAGCAAAATATTATTCATAGTGCTTTCAGTGCCAACGATTATTTATGAAATATTATCTGAAGTAACATTCTTCTTTCCCCTTTGAGTTATTTATAAATTTATTTTTCCAGGTTATCTTTCTTAAAAAGATCAGCTGAAAGTATGCACATTTTAATTCATTTTTTAATATGAAGATTGAACTCAGGGGTGCTTAAGTACTGAATCACATCCTACCCTTTTTTAAAGACCAAAATCTCACTAAGTTGTTTAGGGCCTCACTAAGTTGCTAAGGCTGGCTTTTAACTTGGAATCCTCCAGCCTCAGCCTCCTGAGCCACTGGGATTTCAGGCATGCACCACCATGTGTGTCTGCACATTATAGATGGTATCTCATTTTCTAGCCTTTGCCTTTTGTTTGTATAGGGACTTGGAGGTAGGAATTCTAGGTGATTCCAGCTATTGTATAAACCTGGTTATAGTGAGCAATAATTTCATGGGCACTTTTTAAAAAATATTATTTTTAGTTGTAGATGGACACTATTTATTTATTTTTATATGGTGCTGAGAATTGAACCCAGAGTGCGAGGCAAGCACTCTGCTACTGATCCACAATCCCAGCCCTCATGGGCATGTTTTAACAACTGTAGAACCTATGGCTTTTTCAGTATTTTAGGGCTGGGCTGATAGAAAGATAAAAAGGCTATCTTGTTTTCTTGAAATACAACTTTATCTAACTTTATATTTTGTTAAGTCCTAGGTTGCAGAACAGTTCTCCTTTACTCATCTGCCTGCCTTTTTGAGCAGCTTTCCATTGAAGTAGTTAAGAAGTCTTCTTGGGTAGATGCAGATGAGGACTATAGGACAATGAAAAGTAGTGTCAACTGTGGAGTGTTTTTGGTTTGACAGTGTTAAGGTTTTCTTTGTCCTCATCCTTGCTCTCAAAATTCTGTTTTATTTCTCATGTTTTCAGCAGTACTTTTTTTTCACATAATATATTACTAAAAGTATATATATATATATATATATATATATATTTTTCCTCTGCAGTTGACAAGTTGTTATTTCTGAAAGACCAAGATTGGAATGACTTTTTGCAACAAGTGTGCTCACAGATTGACTCCACTGAGAAGAGCACAGCGGCCTCCCGAGCTAAGCTGAATCTCCTCTGCTATTTATGCGTGGTGGCTGGTCACAAGGAGGTAGCCACCAGGCTACTCCATTCTCCCCTGGTAGGTAGAGTGAGGCAAAAGCCTTTTCTAGAATCCCTACAACTTGCCTTCATGTGCTTAGCTGTTGGAGATTACAAGATCTTAAGTTCATGAAAATTATCCATATTTTAATTTTTGGCCTAAAAAAGCACTGGGTAATTGGTGATTTCAAGGTGTGTGTGTGTGTGTGTGTGTGTGTGTGTGTGTGGTGTTTTTTTTTTTTTTTTTTGATTCTCAGCTTTTGTTTTATGTAACTTAATTCTAAGAAATTTTTCACATATGCATTGAACTGTCCTTTGGAATATGGGGCCCCTTGACTGGGTCAACCTGGTCAATGCCAAGGCTTCTGAGAGGACATTGAAGGGAGGCCTCAAGGGTCTAGACTTATTTTCTGTTGGCCCTGGAAATATTGTTGCTTGGAATGTCTTGGCTTATTAATAAACCTGTAGGGATTTGGCAGAGCTTTTGAAGTCCTCTTCTGGGAGGAATTACAGTGGTTTGGAGGTGTTTTCTGTAAGGGACTTCATTTGGGAACTAACTTGAAAAAAAAATTAAGTGCATTTTGCATTAATACTATTAAGATAGTATTAATGATTTCTTTTGATAGTTGGTGTATCAGGTGGGAGTGGAATATAAAGTGGCATTAAATGGTAAGGAAAACTTAAATTACTTAGTTTTTGGTTTTACTTTATTCATGTACTCAGTGCGTTGCATATTTGTAAATTACTTTCTTGGTGTATAATTTACATTTTAGCTGTGTAAAGATCTGATTTGTTAACTTAGTCATCACTTTCTGTGCCGTTTCATGAATTAAACGTATATTTTTAAAATTCTAGTTCCAGTTGCTAATCCAGCATTTGCGAATAGCTCCAAATTGGGATATGTAAGTAACATTTATATTTTAAAGAGTTCTTTGTGGTTTTATGAAGTTATTACAAAATACATGTTTATAACAAGTGCTGAGTCTAAATGCAATTTCTGGAGGCATCCTGATTTGTTCATTTAAAAAGATTTAAAAATAGACATTATCCTACTATAAACACAATTCTGGGATTATCTAAGCAATGTCTAGATACTTTATTGACTGTTACTCTTGAGTATTCATTGTGGAATGGATTCTGTGTTTCCTGTTACACTCATGTGAGTTTTCTCGTTGCTACTTGTTTATGTACTCCAGCACATAGCTTCCCTGTGATCTGTAAACTCCTGAGGGAAGATGGACTGTGCGCGCCAGAGTGAAAAGCACATTTGCATCAGGTATTAGAGGGCTCAGGGCTCTGGCTGCCAATGAGATGTAGCCAAATGCTGAAATCTTCTTCTGAGTCTCTGCTTCCTGGGGAGTGTGCATAGGACAGAGGCAGACCTGGATGTGGTGGATTGCAGATTTTCCCCCTGGGAAAATTGCTTTAACTGCTGACCCTCACTTTCCTTATCTGTAAAATGGGGATAGTGTAACTACCTGATAAACTAAATATATGGAAAATCTTTTACAGCGCGTACATTTTAGTGGGTGCTTAATATACATTGGAGGTGTGGAATTTGTAGTTCTTATTATCATGCATACTTATCTCATGATTGTTAGGAGAAACATATGAGAAAAGGGAGGTGAAAGAATTTTGTGAATTTTGGTAGTGGCATGATAGTAATTGTTTTTCCCTGCTGGCAAAGTACACAAAATGCTTTAGGGTAATTAATCATCCTGATGCATCTTCCAATGTTACTCTCCCAAAGTAAAATTTGGTGTAAAGAAAAAGGTGATAGTTGAGCATTTAATATGAGATTTGTTGTATGTTCATTGAAAAGGAACCATTGAAATTTTTATTAAAATACTTTTGTTTAAAGCTTCTATCTTTGAATGGAGTGCCCCCTAGTGACATTAGAGTAGGCATTAGTTCTTTCCAAGTACTGCTTTAAAACTGTTTCTCATTTTTTAAATTGAAGTTTAACTGTAAAAGTTTTGAGGAAAATGATAAATATTAAGGTAGACAAGTCCTCTGATTGGAGCCTTCTTTTTCAATAAGGAAACTGCTGCTTCTAGTTTTGTTCAGTTTTCCAAGTTTGTTCTGCATATAGGAAAACAAAATTAGAGTCACGATACAGTTTTAAAGTTTCTCCTCATTCTCTCTCTATATTGATACCTGTGTGTGTTACCTCAATTCTACTTTCTATATCTATGAATTTGGTTATTATGTGTACTTATATGAGTAGAAGTATGAATATTTGTCTTTTTATGTGTGGCTATTTCTTTTAGCTTTGTGTTCTCAAGGTCCATCCAAGTTATAGCATGTGCTAGAATTTGATTCCTTCCTTTTTAAGGTCAAATAATGTTCTAATATTATGTATCCTTTCATCTGTTGGACACTTGCATTGTTTTTAACTTTTGGCCATTGTGAATCATGTTCTATGAATGCTGGTCTTTGTTTATTTTCCTGATTATAGCTCTTCCAGTTGGAGATCATGGTTTTGTTTTACATTTCTTTTGTGACTAGTGATATCGAGCAGCTTTTCAGGTACTTGTCGGTTATCTGTATCTTATTTGGAGAAATGTCTATTCAAGTCCTTTGCCCAATTTCCAATTGAGTAATTTATTTTTGTTCTTTATATATCCTGGGTATTAACTCTTATCAAATAAGAGATTTGAAAATATTTTCTTTCGTCCAGAGGGTTTTTTGCCTTCTTACTGTGCTGTAGTGATCTTTGATTTATAAAAGGTTTTGATTTTGATGAAGTTTGATTCGAGTAGTTTTTCTTTGCTTGTTTGTGCTTTATCTAGAAAGTCAGTGTGAAATCCAAAGCCATAAAGTTTGCTCATTTTTTTTTGCTAATAGTTTTATAGTTTGTTTTAAAGTTTAGATCTTTGATATGTTTTTGAATTAGTATTTGTAAATGGTGTAAGTTGAGGGTAAAACTTGATTGCCTTTGTGTGTGGATATTGTTTTACCTATACCTATGTGTCAAAAGGTTTGCCTTTCCCCATGGAATGGTCTTGGTACCCTTGTTGAAAATTGTTTACACATACATGTGAGGATTTATTTCTTGGCTCTCCATTCCATTGGTCTAGATCTTTGACTTTATGCTAATACCACACTGTCTTGATTACTGTAGTTTTAAGTTTTGAAATTGTGAAAGGTCCAAATTTTTTGAGACTGTTTTAGCCACTTAAGTGTCCATTAAGATATGAATTTGGGGGCTGGGGTTGTGGCTCAGTGGTAAAGCACTTGGCTAGCATGTGTGAGGCACTGGGTTTGATTCTCAGTACCACATATAAATAGTAAGTAAATTAAATTAAAAAAATGAATTTTGGGAAGTACTTTTTCTATTTTTTTTTTAATAGTTTTACATCTGAATAAGATGAGGTGGTTAAGTGCCCATCTTTTTTTAATATTTATTTTTTTTAGTTGTAGTTGGACACAATACCTTTATTTCATTTATTTTTATGTGGTGCTGAGGATCAAACCCACGGTCTCACATGTGCGAGGCGAGCGCTATACCGCTGAGCCACGACCCCAGCCCTAAATGCTCATCTTTTTAGAACGTTTCCTCCATTTCTATGATCAAATTCTCTTCTTAGTTGATCAAATTTCATTATTCTGTAGGTTTGTTTTGTTTACTTTTCCAAGAAGGCCTGTCCGTGGCTCTGCTTCTGGAGTAGTTGCCTCCTTAGGTGTTTCTCTCAGACCCAGTGGCTCAGGGAGGTGGTCTTGCCCCTGCAGCCACATTGACCTCCATGCCACAGTTTGGACTTGTGCTGTCTTCCCCTGTGCTGACTGTAGATCTGCAGGAACTGGGGCCAACCTCAACTTGTGTGTATCTTGTTTGAGTTTGCTTTATTTTGTCTGAACTTTTCTTTTCATTCCAGTACAGGCAAGTTTTTACCAGACCATATGTAGGAATCTTTTTACAAACATGTTATAGCAGTTACTCTACTAAATTCTTAGCTCCTTCCACCATTTCATCCTTTTCTGCTCCTGAAAATAGGAGCAGTATGGGTGTGGGATTAGTCTGACTCTTCTCTCAAACTCTTTTGCTTTCTCATTTTGTCCTTTTTATTGTGGTACAGTTCACTATAAAATCAACTTTTTAAAAGTGTAGAGTTTGGGCTTTAGTACATACAAAGTTGTGCAACCATCACTGCTATCTTATTTCAGAAGATTTTTATCTTCCAATGAAAACCTTGTACCCCTTTTGTTCCTCTAGCCTCTGAAAACCACCTACCTACTTTATGTTGATTTTTTTTTTTTTTGGTCCTATGCTAGACATTGCAAATAAATGGAATCATATAGTATGTGGCCTTTTGTGCCTAACTAGTGTCATTTTGCAGGCTTATATTTTTTGTAGGTCAAGGTTCATCCATCTCGTAAGTATTAGTTCATATTCATATGCCAGTTTTTGTCTGAACTTAAATGTTTTCATCACAAATGTAACTAGTAGTTGAAATGCTGTGTTCAATCTTTTGAAGAACTGCCATGCTCTTTGCTTGCTGTTCAGTATCTCTGTCATCAAGTTTGGTATTTATCCTGGCTTATTTTTTAGGATTTCTAGTGAATTTTAATTTTAATAATCATTTTTGAAAGTTTTTATTTTTTTGTTCTCTGGTCTTTCTTCCTGCCTACATTTGGTATGAAATATACTTTTGTATTGGAGATAAATGTTAGGATTGTTTAAAAAAAATCCTTTGAGATATATTAGGATTAAATATAATAATTAATATTTAAGGTAAGGCATTAGTATTATAAAACTTGTGCGCTTATCTCTTGAACCTGTAGGTCACTTCTTTTTCATTATAGTTCTGCTTTTTAATGCTGTTTATTTCTCAAATGCCTGACGATATTTTATTCTTACTTAATATGATTAAATGATGTATAATGTGGTAACACCAGTTTCCTCCATGCTTGTTCAGTGTTTCTCCTTTAAGGGAGAGGACGTGCGTATCAATAGGTGGGATCTGTTGGCTGGTGGACAGGTGTATGTTCTTTTTCTTTCTTTTTCTTTCTTTCTCTTTCTCCTTTCTCTTTCTTTTTCTTTCTCTCTCTCCTTTCTCTTTCTCTCTCTCCTTTCTTTCTTTTTCTTTCTCTCTCTCCTTTCTCTCCTCTTTCTCTTTCTCTCTTCTGCTCTTTTCTTTCTCTTTTTCTCTTGCTCTTTTTCTTTTTCTTTTTTCTCTTTTACTTTCTTTCTCCTTTCTCTTTCTCCTCTTTCTCTTTCTGTTTCTCTTTTTCTTTTCTTTCTCTTTTTTCTTTCTTTTTTTCTTTTTGTTGTCTTTTTTTCTTTCTTTTCTCCCTTTCTTTATACTGGGAATTGGACTCAGGGGTGCTTAACCACTGAGCCACATCCCCAGCCCTAGGGTCTCAGTGAATTGCTAGTGCCTGATTAAGTTGGTGAGGCTGGTTTTGAATTCTCAATCTTCCTATCTCAGCCTCCTGAGTCGCTGGAATTACAGGCATGCTCCACCACGCCCGGCCTTAGGGGTTTCTTTTATTCGCTGTGTGATTCTGTTTGTCATTTGGGACTTTCTATTCCACTTTCAGCCCTTCTTTGTTTCTAATTATCATGGAGTTAAAATAATTTTTCTATTTTAACAGATTATTGAAGGGATCAGTGTCTAGTCTGCTAACATGATTGTGATTTATGGAGGTTTCATTTTTTACTTATTGTATAATATACACAGAAGTGCTTCTAAATTTGCTGGTGTCAAGGCTTTTTTGCTTATCATTTCCACTTCTCTATTTTTATTATAATAGTGAGTTCTATGTAATATTTCTGCTTTTGGGAGTGTTCTAATTTATCTTTGTGGTCTTGTATAAAATCAATTTTTAAAATTAGGCCACGAATATGGTCAATAATGGTAGCTAACCTGTTCAATTCAGACTCCAAGATAGTTTCTGCATGTGGATTATATCCCTTGATTCTTACAACTTGAGGGAGTACATATTATTAGTCCTTCTGAACTTATGAGGTAACCAAGACCCAGGCACATAAAAGATGAGTAACTACTCAGGGCACTGTTGCCCCCATTATTCTCACTGTGGACTCAAGACTATGCATAGGACATGTGGTTCCTAGTCATCGATACTGTCCTGTACAGTCTTCCATTGAGTAAGAGTGTTCATCTTTTTCCAGGGTGTAGAGTTTGGTGTATACATGTGTTCCATTAGCCTTGTTGGTCTTACCATGGATGCTTGAATGTGTGTATGCTCACTTTTTATTGCTGAGCTTGGGGAAGAAGTAGATTGAAATTTCTGACTCCCTTTGGCTTTACTTTCATGCTTTGTTATTTGTTGTATGAGGGATCATACCTTATATTTTTTGTAGGTCATACAGTTTTTAGTTTATAAGAAAATTTCTCATTTAATGCTTTTAGCCTTGAATTCTTTACTTCACTTCAGCCTTGAATTCACTTTCACTTCTGCTTCACTTCTGAATTCTGCAATGTGCAGCCATATGTTTTATCCACTCCTTTCCTGCTGGCACATGTAGTAACTTAGTTTTTGATGGTGTGATCATTTTTGTTTAGCAGACATTTAGAAAGGGCATACTTGTACTCCAAGCACTGGTCTCAGTGTTCACAATGGTGAACAGAACAAAGCTCTGCCTTCATTGACTTTAAGTGTTGACCTTGAGGGAGTTAGATAATAATTGAGTAAACAAATGAACAGTAACTACAAAAATTTAAATCAGCTCTAATATGATAGCCACTAACTACATGTAGTTTGTTAAAGTAAAATTCAATAAAATTTAATATTAAGTTTCTCGCTTGCACCAGGCATATTTTATGTGCATGATTAGTGAAGTTTTCAGTGTATACTGCATTGAAGAGTGTGGTCATAGAATTCCTGTTAATACATGGAAGTCTGTTGGACACTGCTGCCCCAGATGTTCTTGGGGATACAGGATGGTTCTTAGGAGACTGTGCTGAGTTGGGGAGGGGATTAGAACCTGGAGTGGCCATATTGAAGAAACCTGAATTCTGAAAATGACAGGCTTGTGAGGGTCTTGTATATAGAGTATTATTGTATATAAGTTTTTGTTATAAACTGAGGACTACTGTCATTATTACTTTAAGTTTATAATTGAAAAGTATTAGTGTTTTTAGGTAGGGTATTTTCTCTGATTTGATTTGAAATTATTTCTGGGGAAATTCGAAATATTACCATGTTGTGATACATTTTTATTTTAGTTGAATAAATCTAGTCGTTAATATTTAATTTTGTAGACTGAGAAATGATTTAGTGTCATAAATTTTTTAAAAATTTTTTAGTTGTAGTTGGATACAATACCTTTATTTTATCTATTTTTATGTGGTGCTGAGGATCGAACCCAGTGCCTCACATATGCTAGGCAAGCACTGTACCAGGCAGCCCCAGCCCTTCATAAATATTTTTGAGCTTATTTTTGAAAACAGATTTTGTGTTTCATATTGTCTATTCATTGGTGAGTTTTTGATAACAAGCATTTGTTTTACAATTGTGAAAAAAACCCAACTAGATCTTTTATTTATTTATTTATTTATTTATTTATTTATTTATTTAATGTTGGTTGTTCAAAACATTACATAGTTCTTGATATATCATATTTCACATTTTGATTCAAGCGGGTTATGAACTCCCATTTTACCCCGTATACAGCTTGCAGAATCACATCAGTTACACTTCATTGCTTTACATATTGATAAACTCATGTCTGTTGTATTCTGCTGCCTTTCCTATCCT